TCATATTCGTGACGATGTAATCAAAGCACTAAATATAGAAGGTTTGGATGTCTTGGAAATACCTGGTGGAACGACTAGTGTTTTGCAGCCACCTGATGTTTCAGTAAACAAGCCTTTCAAAAGTGGAATGAGAAAAAGATGGGAAGAATGGATCGAAAAAGGAAAAAAAGAATTTACTACAAAAGGAAATCGCAAAAAAGCTTCATATGAACTTGTTTGTGAATGGATATCTGAAACATGGAAAGAAATTAGTTCAAATGTTTTAGTCAAATTTTTTGAATCAACTGGTCTTACTTTGAATTCTGATAATAGCAAAGATCACAAGATGTTACATCGTCTCCAGACAATTATCGAAAACCGTCTAGATAATATTGATAAAGATGAAGAAAGTATACGTTTAGAGGATGAAGAGAATAAAAATATAATGAATATGGATATGGATGATATAGATATGAATAGCATGAATATATACGATGATATGGATGATATAGATATAAATGGTATAAATATAGATGATGATATAGATGATAATATGGTGTATAATAAAAATTCAGTGAATGGTGAGGATATAATGGATAAGTACATAACAGATAAAGAGTATAATGGTAAGTATCTATACATTTTAACATTAATGGAATTCATTAATATTACTTCTCTATTTATTTGCATATACATAAAATTATTAGGATAAGTTCGAAGAGATAAAAAGAGCGTTAGGGAATTTAGAATTAATGATTCGACATCCAAGATAAAATGAGTAATGTATTTATTTCAAAAGAACATACAAAACTTATTTTTTAAAGTATATATAATCACTTACTGATGAATGCTTATTACCGGCTATGCCTATTTAATAACAGAAAACAGGATCTCATTTATTTTGATCTGAAATCCCTATTCGACAAATCTGTTAATACAAAAAAAAATGAATACGTTTCTGAAACAAATAAAGTTATGCTTTTACCATCTGCACTCTATAAAATAATTGATATTCAATACTTTGGATGATTACGATAAACCATTTTTTGAATTCGATATAATTATACGAAAAAAGCATTGCATTTTCTAGATAGTAAAAAAAGGAGGAAATACTATACATTGTCATATATCTTCCTACCTCAGGAGAAAGATATGGACAGAGAACTAATAGCAGGGAGACACTTTGTATGGATAGACCAATGTGATATGCTAAAGTTCATAAGGGTGTACTAAAATTAGTACAGTTCTGAGGTGTATGAGGTC